TATATATATATATATATATATATATATATATATATATATATATATATACGATGACAGTACTACACAATAACAATATAAGAATACAATAATTATAGTAAAAAGAAGAATAATACTACACAGTAATCATAATATATATAATAGAAGAAAACACACAAAAAACATCAAATACACAGCATAGGAGTTGTAGCAGCATGGAGTTCTGCTGCAACGAAAAACAGAATATCTTGTTTTCGCTGTCGCCTTAGAATATATTTTCTTTATTGTCTCTTTCTGTTTCTTTTGTTTTGTTATACACAGTCTCTCCTTTCTGCCGCCACATACAGAATTCTTCTGTATTTATATTACCTCCTTTTGTCTCTGTTTAAGGAAACACACGCATACAGACAGACAAAAACAAACAAACACACGAAAACAAATAAACCTACGAATCCATAAACATACACAGAGACAAAGCAAAACACACACAGGCAAAGATAGATAAATATGCATCCACAAACGAACACGAGGGAATATACAGAGACAAATAAACAAACAAAGACAAGTAAACAAACGAAAACAAATAAATAAATGAAGACAAATAAATAAAGACAAATAAACAAACAAAGACAAGACGGCTGGAAACGCGGCTGTTTAGTCTAGGGGTATGATTCTCGCTTCGGGTGCGAGAGGTCCCGGGTTCGAATCCCGGAACAGCCCGATTTGTGTTGGCTGATATCTGCATTAATTTCATTCATTTTAAAAGGAATAATTAAATAAATTTAATTTAATTTTGACACTTTCATCACCAATAAATAAGAGCAGATGGGGTGCTGCTGCTCTGGCACGCCTAAGAAGAATAACGGCAAGCCCTGCATGCGTGCACACGCAGTAGGAAAACCAACAAAATAAAGGGATAATATTTCTTTTGAATTCATTTCTTTTTGAAACAAAGTTTAAGAGAAAATTCGCGTTTTTTCGTTCAAGTCCTTCTACAGGATAAGGAGTGGTGTATATGTATGTATACCTTTGGCTGCTCGCCGCCGACCACCGCTGGGGCTTGTGAGGGTTTTGCTTCTTGGCGATGCAGATATGCTGGAGTCAGCTGAAAGACAGTGTTTGTAGCATCAATTAGATAAATTATATCAATAGAAACAAAAATTTAAAGTATTTACTCTCCAGGGGTGGCGCAGCCTGTGTCGCTCATCAGCCGCCGGGGAGAGAGGAGGCACGGAAGCGACGCGATCATTTGCATTTTGTGAGCTGTTCAGCGAATCTATGAATTCATAAATACTGGAATTTCTATTTTTTTATTTTTAGAGAAAATAATACCAAACTGATCTTTGGTTTCCATCTCTTGGGGTGTTAGTATTACTGCGGCAAGGCTTGAACTGCTCGGGGCACTTGTGTTGAATTCATTGTATTCTTTGCCTTCAAATTTCCTCTTTACCACAATGAGCTCTCCAGAGGAAGAAGGAACTCAGCCAGAATCCCGGAGCCCGAAGATGGCCCCGCGTACCCCCTCAACTCTACTAGACAGCAGCAGCAGCAGCAGCAGCAGCAGCAGCAGCAGTGTTGATCATGGGAAACTGACAACTTCCCAGCGTGTTTGTCAGCTGCTACTTGAACGCCACGGCAGCAGAATAACGCAATTTCTTCTGCAGAACAAAGAGGGCCGGCAACTCTTGAAATCATTCATCGCTCTGGCTTTCGGCCATAGTGAACAGGAGGGGGGCAACTGCCTCGTTCGCATCATTCAGAGAGATCCCGAAACTCTCTTGCCGCTTCTCCTCAAAAAATCAGGTGTTTAAACACTGCAGCAGCAGCAGCAGCAGCAGAAGCAGCAGAAGCAGCAGCAATAGCAGCACCAGCAGCAGCAGCAACAGCAGCAGCATAGCAGGCACTAGCATCAGGCGTTTAAATATATGATTATTTTAGAATTAATGTTTATTAAACAACTGATTTCTTGTTTTAAACACCACTGATACACCAAGAGCAGCACCAGCAGCAACGCATACACCATCGTCAAGTGTATAGAACACACCGCCCTTATAGGAGTTTTATGTTTAGTAAAGAACTAAACAACTGAATACACAACCAAGAAGTTTAACAAACAACTAAATACCACTTTTAAAATATTTATATGCATAATATGAAGCTCCCGCAGGACGGTGATATGTGCATTCAAGTTCGTTTCCTTTATCCTATTTCTGCGGTTGTGTTTTCTTCTTCACACAACTAACATCGTTTTGAATTAATTATTTAATAAATAAATAATTTCATTAATTATTTAGATAGTTTATGATTAAATCAATCGTTGAAATGCCATATAATTGAACTGATTGTTCAGATAACATTCAGTTTTTCGTTTGGTTAATACCTCATCGAGTTGCTGAATTTAGCTGAATTGTTTAAATAAAATACAAATGAATAAATTGTTTAAAAAAATAAAAGTATAAATAAATTAATTTTGTGTTAATCTAACAACTTATACTGATATGAAAGCAATAATATTTCGTGTTTCCTGTGCTGCAGCTGACAAGACGGTGGCGCGGGGGCTGGCCGCGTGTTTCGTTCGGGGTGTATCGAACGCAGCAGCAGAAGATCTGAAGCCAGTTGTTGCAGCACTAGCAGAAACTATCACTGAGCCTCTAGGAGCGCAGACAGAAACCCCCAAAGAAGACGGGGGACAGGCTCCTGCTGCTGCTGTTGCTGCTGCTGCTGCTGCTGCTGCTGCTGACGATGATGATGAGGGTTCAAGTGATAAGAGGCCTGATAATGAACAGTCGGCTGCAGAGGTCAGAACATTTTCCTTCTCTCTGCTGCGTGTACACCTGAAACCTCTTCGCCAGTATACAACGTGTTCTGATGCTAGGCTCAGTCTTTATATCGAATAGTCTGCAGGAGAGTTAAAGAAACTAATTTTTATTTGTTTTCATTTGTTGTTTTACTTGTTTGTGGGCCATCAGGGGACCCCTCAGCACACACACTATATGCTCAGGTGTAGAGGAAGTAAACATTTTGCTTTTTGCTTTTGCTGTATTTGTTTTTTTAGGGTTTGTTAAGGCGGCCGTCTCGCGTGCAGGAGCTGATAAGAGAGCAGCAGCGGCGATGTCAGCAGCAGCAGCAGCAGTTGCTGCGGCAGCGGAGCAGCTGTGTGCGTGAGTCTGCAGAGGTGCCTCATGTATCAGAGGAAAAAGATGAGGGGAGAAGAGTGCAAGAGAAACTGTTGATAGAGGCCGTAATCTTCGCTGCAACTGAAGCCGCTTCCCCCGAAGCTGAGGCCCTCTGTGAACAGCTAGTAAACCTCTCGCCTGCAGTATTAACGCGGGTTATTAAAATTGAAGTCGCTAGAAACCCAGCAGAAACAAACGCAGCAGCAGCAGCAGCAGCTTCCCCTACGGCTGCAACCGGGGCTGCTGCTGCTGCTGAAGACTCTTAAGCAAAGAAGCAAAGATATTGAGAAACAACAGCAGCAGGGTAGTAACAGCAGCAGCAGCCACGAGCAGCAGCTGTAAAACAGCAACATTATGGCAGCAGCAACCTTCTCGCCAGCATGAAAGGCGTCGCTAATTGTATACAGAAATTAATGAATTTGTTTGTTTCGTTCAGTTTTGAACTTGAGTTTGTTATATAGATATTTGCCTGTTGCTTTCTATTTATTTTTGCAAACTCCATACGATGGATAATTTGTTTTAAAAGGGAACGAAACACCGATTTTGTTGCCTTTATATTTTGCTGCTTTCTCAACCCCGCACGTCGCCTTCGTCTTTTTCTTTTTTTTTTTCAGCTGCTTTAGTGCACTCTATCATCCCTCATTAGAACTGTCTGTACAGACGAATCCACCCAAACAAACGCATATGAACGCATACCTCTGCAGCGCGTTTGTCAGTTCAACTTTTCCTGTTCCAGCGAGAACAAAGCGCTTTCATAATTCAAATCAAGAGAAAAGCCAGAGTTACAGCCATTGCAACAATTCACTCGATGAGGGAAAACAGTAACCCTCAGTTTGCGCTCTGGAGATGCACCAGAAGGAAAGAAGCAAGCCGCGCCAGCTCGTAGCCGAAACAGGTTGACGGGGAGGGGTAACGAAGGGGGAGGGGAATCTACAGAAATATGTATTCTTATAGTCCGTGGCTAGTGCAAAGGCTGTCATATGCTGTTAGTTTAAGTAAAAGAGAAGCAACAGAAAAGCAAAACTATAATAGAGTGAGCGATACGAAGAACATCTGCAAAACGAATATCGGAACCTGCATGGCGCCCTTTCTGTTATCTTTTGCCGTTCTGTTCTCCCCTACTGTGGAAAGCTGACGAAACAAAGTAAAAGGGTTGAGCTTTCTCTTGCTTTCTGCACTAGTTGGCAGTAATATTAGTTTGTACTTGTATTACTAAGGAGTTCTGCAGGTTGTATACATAGATGTATCAGTCGCGGCGGCTGAGGTAAGAAGAGGGTTTCTTGTGCACTGTCTCAGCAGTGGAGATATTTCGGGGAAACGGCTCTAGTGCTTGTGAGTTAGTTGTATTCTACGAAAGTGGAGAATGTAGAAGGCGCCACTTAAGCGGTGTAACAGCAGGCTGATGGTTTCTTTGCTTTCCGCTTGGGAAATAGAATAAAGGCGGGTGTAGTGTTCGTGTTGTGTTCGTTCTCTTGTCAAGCATTCACAGAAGGTTGTTTGTGCGTGAAAGAAACAGAACCCAAGTTGAATTGAATTAAATGGGCCACCAATCACGCTAAGCTCAACAGATCCTCTCCCGCTTCCGTCTGCAGTATGCATTTCGATTTTTCTTTCATTTGGTTGTAATTGCACCGATCTTCTTCTTCTAACTTCTGATAAAAATGAAATGAACAAAATAAAATTGTGTTTCCCAAAGATAATCGACCTTCACTTCTCTAAGAACCGGTAGGAGTGACCGCCGGGCTGTCGCCAGCGGCCCAGGGGAGCCTCGTTTCACGGATCACATGTGGATGAACTCGATGAATGTTTCTCTATAAATGTTGTATTGAAGTTGTTCTGTCGGAATATTTAAAGAAAATTGATGATTCTTTCCCCAAACAAGTTCCATCGGTTGCTGCGTGCAACGATGAACAGAAGGGAAAGCTGAACGAACCAGCCGGGTGTGCGTACCTTCTTGACGGCGGTGCATTCCGTTCCGTTGCCCCCGTCGTTTCTTACACCTTATTTTCAGGTGTTTATGCAGAATTCATCGCGCCACCTGCTGCAATATCGCGCCTTGCAGCTGCAGCAGCGGAAATGTGAATATGCTTGCTGCCTGCATGAGCTGTCGGTTCCTGGTGGCTTTCTTGTCTAGTCCTGATGCTCGGGCCGTCTTCAACTCCCTCATCGCCTTTAGCTGTGGGTGCGTAAAGGCGTACAAACTGAGAAATGGACATCCGCACCCCAAACCCTCAAACAGCGTCCACCGGCACGGCGGGGCCCCCCTCCCCAGCTGGCGAGGAGCCTCATCCCCTCAAGGGAGACAGCAGAAGCTTGAGTGCACGGACGTCATCGCAAAAGCAGCAGCAGCAGCAGCAGCACGCATTCCGAAGCGCCTTCATTTCGCAGGTTGGGGCCCCCCTTTGGCGTTCTCTTAGGGGCCCCCGGAGCCCCCGGGGCCCTCCTACCCCCGGCCGTGACCCACATCTCAACTCTTACGACTCAGATGAAGCCTCAGGCAGACACCACTCACTGCCCGTTGACTGCCCTATACAGAGCCAACGCAGTTACAGCTGCGCAGACTCCAATTCAGAGCGCTGCAGCGGCGCCGAGTCGCCTTCTCCTCTGCCTTCAGCAGCAGCAGCAGCAGCAGCAGCAGGAGCAGCAGCAGCACCTGCGGGGGCAGCAGTGAGGGCGCAGTCTGCGCCTGAAGTTTCTTCTGCCTCAGCTTCATATCGTTGCCGCCGCAGCAAATTCTCTGCTATTTCTCTCTCTAACAAATTTCGTCAGTTCTCCTTTTCTGGTCTTCTTCGCGGCTCCCCCAGCAATGGCAGTAGCAACATATCCACTGCTGCCTCGAAGGGGCCCCGCAGCTCCTCAGCTGAGCCTGCGGTGTATGCACACCAGAACACACAGGGGGGCCAAACAAGCAAGACGCGCCACGCAAGCGCTCCACGGGGGCCCCTGGGGCCCCCATCTGCTTCGGGGCAGCAGCTGCAGAAGAAGTCTTTAAGGGGGCGGCTCATGCCCTTTAACGTTTTTCCTTCATCTGCTGCTGCTGCTGCAGACGAGTCTGCTGCTGCTGATCCACCTGCTGCTGCAGCTGCTGGTGATCGCGCCGCTGCAGCTGTTCCCGAAGCAGCAGCAGCCGCAGCAGCCGCAACAGCTACAGCCGTAGCAGCTGCTGCTCCTGCTGCTCCCTGCGTTGCTGTGACAGGTATTCCATTTGCTGCAGCAGGAGAAGCTGCTGTTGATGGCTCGCGTGCTGCTGCTGCAGCTGCTGCATCTGCTGCTGCTGCTCCAGCCTTTGCTGCTTCAGCAGCTGTTAGCGATGACGCGCAGGCTGTGGACTCTGCGGACTACCCGCGGGGGGTTGGCTATGACTTTCAGCTGTCTCTGCCTGTGATGTATGAAGCAGCAGCAACAGCAGCAGCAGCAGCAGCAGCAGCAACACCGCAGCAGCTGCATTCGTCTCTTCTGCTGCCTCGACGCGCCTCCTGTCCTGCGCTCGTCAGCAGCTCCGTTCCTCCAGCGAGCGGTGGTGTTACGGCTGAAGCTGCAAGCAGCAGCGAACAGGCTGCTGCTGCTGCTGCTGCTGCTGCTGCTGATAGTGCAGCAGCAGCAGCAGCCTCTCGATGCAGCAGTTTCTTTCCCTCTCGGGACAGCAGCAGCAGCAGCAACATACCCACAGGCCTGCGTCCTCCCTGCGGCTCGCAGCAGCAGCTGCTGCTGTCTGCCCCCCCATACAGCTTGAAGGCAGCACAGCGAAGCCCCTATGAGGTTTCTTCTCGTCGCCGCTGGAGTTCTTCTTCTCCTGACCTCGGCTATGGATACAGAGCAGCCCGCAGCTATGTGGGGGGCCCCCCCCTTGGGGGCCCCCAGGGGGCCCCCGAGACCCCTTTACTAGGTAGACGACCACCCCGCGTGCGGCCGCTGCAGCTGCAGGAGCCGCTGCTGCTGAGCGGTGCTGCTTCTCTGCCTCTGAGCAGCAGCAGAAGAAGCGCGTATGCTACAGCAGCATCACTGCTGCCTGTAGATGGAATACCCGGGGGTATAGAAGGCGGAGTAGTAATAGGTGAATCTGCTGCAGCAACTTTATCAGGTACAGCAGCAACAGGACCACCACCAGCAGCAGCAGCAGCAGCAGCAGCAGCAGCAGCAACAGCAACAGCAACAGCAACAGCAGGAGGAAGCCGCGAGAACCAAACAGACCTGGGTATAGGCCTGTGTTACCCTCAAGCTATAAGTAAACCCCCAGGAGAAAGAAAAGGAGGAGGAGTCGAAAACTTCGTTAAGGGCGTAGAGAAGTGTTTAGCGGAGATCGTCAGCAGCTTCCCCCCAGGCAGTGAGCTACACAACGGCTTCGGGGGGCTCACTGCAGCAGAAGAGCAGCAGCAAGGAGGACCGCTGC